TGGTTATAATTCTCGTAATACTGTATTTTATTTTAATCATGAGCCAATCGAAATTGTTAAAACATTTTGTTATTTAGGTATTGTGTTTACAACAGGAGGATCATTAAGTACAGCACAAAAAACATTATCTGGTCAAGCCCAGAAGGCTATTTTCAAATTAGAGAAATATTTGTATAAGTTTACTTATATACCCCCAAAACATAAATTAGAATTGTTTGATAAGCTTGTAGCTCCAATATTAAATTATTGTTCCGAGGTATGCTGTTTCGCTAATGATTTATCGATTGAGAGAGTACATTTACAATTCTGTAAAAAGCTATTAGGTGTAAAGAAAACTACACAGAATGACTTCATTTATGGTAAATTAGGTCGAACTTCTTTTAAAACTATACAAATGTACAAAGCAATAAAATTTTGGCTAAGAATATTACAAACGAAACAAAATAAATATATTGTTATTGTTTACGACTTACTTAAATCAGATCTAGACATGTATCCTAGTAAAGTAAATTGGTGTTCATTATTGAAAAATCTATTATGTTCACTTGGATTTGTTGACGCTTGGATTTACCAAGGAGTAGGAAATGTTGATATGTTTTTGTCTGTAACAAAACAAAAGTTAAATGATCATTTTATTCAAAACTGGAATGCAAGACTAAATCAATCCAGTAGGGCTTTATTTTATAATACAATATCATCTTTTAGATTTCAGCCTTATTTGGAATGTTTTAATGTTCAAAAATTTTGTCAAGCGTTTTCCCGTTTACGTGTCTCTTCTCATAGATTACAGATAGAAGCTGGTAGATGGTCTAGGCCACATAGGACCCCTTTAAATGAAAGAATATGTGTAAGATGTGGGAAAATCGAAGACGAATATCATTTTATATTAGAATGTTTGTTATTTATTGATATAAGAAAAAAGTATATTGATAGACGCTTTTGGATAAGACCTAGTATGCGAAAATTGGTTGAACTTGTAAATTCAAAAATAAGAACACTCTTCGAAACCTTGGAATATATATCTATAATGCCTTTAATATTCGAAATTCGGTTCTATATACCAATTAAAAGTTTTCAAATAAATTATTAAATAGATATTGATATTTTAGATGTATAGTCATAAGTAAAATAGATATGTAATATATATTGTATTGTAATAAGCATCTTAATAAGAAATGTATTGATATTCGCATAAGTATATATCTCAAACACATGTCTAACATATGTTATATAATTATGTATATTTGCATGCCATACTATCGGTCTTACAGTTTCGTTTCGGTAAGACTGATTAAATATGGGATTATTAGCATAATAGGAATCTATATATAATATAATCTATGTATCTTGGCTCAATAGTGAGGTAAGATATGTAGATAAACTAATTTAGTTTAATGATTTATGTAATGTAGTGAATATTAATTATGTTTGTTGTGACACTACTTCATAGATTAACATCATGGTAAATTATATTAATTTTGGGTAGCTAAACATTTCTAGAACAGAACATTTAATTCATGCAATCATTTTAACAGATAAGAAGTACGTGAGTGTAAGACAAACATAAATTAATATTTGCATTGTTCTACGTTCTAACGAATAAGTTGTTATTATGACCTTCTCCTGTAAAGTCATAATTATATTGTGATAATGTTTTTATTTTAACATATGCACTGTTCGTTATCTTGTAAATATGCTGTATTATGTCATCATGGGCTTATAAGCCTTTTTGATTGAAATAAAATGTCTGTCTGTCTGTCTATATAAATTCCTAATTTCCTTGTGAAAAAGCAGGATAAAAATTAAAGTTGTGATGACTTATTACATAATTTATAAATTTGACTTAAAATTTGGACAAAACAACACTAATAATAAAATTGACAAAATTGAATTTTTCAAGTTTTAACTGACCTTATTTTTTTAACTTTGCTAAAATTGAGATAACTTCGTTATTTAGTTACAGATATTTAGACAAAACTACTTAAATAATGTCAAAAACTGCATTTTGAACAATTAAAGTATGGCATTGACTTTAAAATAACATTGACTGCTTATGTCAAAATTATTGATTTTTATTTTAAATTATGATTCAAAGGCGCGCTTTATTCGCCGATGTTATATAACACGTGTATAATATATAGAGACACGTGTTTCTTGTGAATGATTATTCTATACTTCCATGTGTGATATAAAACATATCCCACTCCCACGTTTTCTTTTTATTTTATGCCAAATAAGTAACCTTTTTATTAAAGCGCGGGAAAAAGAAGACATCCTCAAATGTTCAACGGCTACACGAACGCTGCTGCGTAGAAAAAGTAATTCAAGTTTGTATTGATGTACAATACAGTGTAATTGTTGCTTTTTGTTCTGACCAGCATATTTTTCGATCAATTTCATTAATTCTCTAAAATTGTTTTGAGTTACTCTGCAATAATGACATGAAAAATATGCCGGTTAAAACAAAACGCATGAATTAACTTTAATTTACGGAATCATTAAGAAAAAACATACAACTATTTTACAAAAATAGTTCGATAGAGCAATATCAGTCAACTTGTGGGTAATGTGGACTTTATCACACGGATAAAACCCATTAGCTCAAAGGTTGGCATAAAATAAAAAGAAATAGGCACATCGACTACCGTTATCTAGCTCGAACAGTTACCGAACGCTGGAGACAGCACCCAGTGTTTGATTATCACATATATCGTACTTTCGGGGGGGGGGGGGGCAGAAATTAAAAAAAAAATATTTTCATCGAGCACTTTTTTTCATATAGTTGCGTATGAACGTTACTACAAAATGACGTCATTCTAGCACATTTTATTCATAAAATGCGCACGGGAAAAACGTAATTAAAAGCCCCGATTACACCGGAATAAACAGAAGAAAATCATGACTGATATGCAAGGAAAATAATTACACTTCATGTTTGATCAAGATGATTCCTCGATGACGCATTTTCACGCGACACGAGAATAATAGTTGAATCGAGTTATTTCTGCCGATCCTAAATATATTTTCTAACAAATACGTTGATCATGTTAAAATTTCCGCTATCATGTCTATCGTTCACACATCTTTATATACTGCTTGTCATGTAACAAACACCACGTCCGCCTTTCAGTCTGTACTAAACTATTTATCATTTTTATGGAAAATTTCAAAATAAGAACAGTCTGAATTGACGCAGACGATACTGCACGGACGGGTATATTTTCTTTCCGCCAAAAGTGTTACATAGGCAACAATGTTCTTTATATTGTAAAACATTTGCTGTAGTTATTGAATAAAATGAATTTATTGTCATATCGTTAAAAACTGGCTGTTATTTTTAAAAAAAAAAACAGATTTTTTTTTCAAATTACTCAGAAGCGCTATGGCATGTTTTCATTAAATTATTGAACAAAAAAGCTCGTATTAAAAAGGCTTTCTGCATAGTAATTTGTAATAGTAATCTCCATACAGAGTTAACAAAATATTGTTAGTAAATTATTCATGCATTTGTCGGTTTCTTTATTCATGCTGTTCATCAGACACAATTCAAATGGAAATTATAGTATTTGGCTAATTTTCTAATGTATTTTCATGGCAGTCATAACTGTCATGAAAAAAGCAAAAACTCTCCAATACCAGGATGTTATAGGTTGGTTCCAGATATTCGACATTACGATTTTAACTCTTTTTTTTTTTTCTCTCTTTTTATATTTTCCTTTTTTTATTTTTTACAAACGGTGTATCGATATTTTGTAGGAGATGAACGGTTTTTTTTTTTTCAAATTAAATTCTCCTTGCTTTCACAATCGGGTTTCGTCATTTATTTACAAAAAAAAGGTTTTGCGTTTTATTTCTCGTGAGAATGGACTATTGTATTTTTTCACTGTTCCTTCAGGCAAATTTGTTTGTTTGACAGTCCATCATTATAATGCATCAAAATTTACAAGTTTTGACAACGTCAAATCATCACTTCCCAAAGTGAATTGTACTACACACTATTACGTGGATTGCAAGTGTAGATTGCAATATGTAATTTCCTTTTACAATATTTTATTGTTAAATACATTTAATAAAAATTTTCATGGATCTGGAGGCATATTGCTTTAACAGATCTGCTTGTTTAAACAGGAGTATGTCTGGAAACTAGTATCTATCCGAAGGTCAATCGTGTTTCATAGCATAGATGAGGCAGTGGGTTAGTATGTCAGATATTTTGCAACAATCAATCTACGCCAGATTACGTGCCAACAGATTCAATGCTTATTTTGAAGCGTTATACTTTCCAGAAGTGACTATATGTAAACAGGTATTCTGACAGAATCGTGGGATCAGGCTTTATCAACATTTGTTTTACGTTTGTTTAATAGCTGTACCACTGTTTTGCATAATATTTACGAGAAATTAACTTGTATTATTTTGCAAACGGATAATAAAATTGTTTCGAGTATTTAGATTTGTTTAAACATATTAGAATAGTTAGATTGTTCGGTCCAATACATCAAATTATATTTATTGTGTGTATGTGCGCGAGCCCGTCGATGTTTCATTGATGTTTAATTCAAACTTATTTATTTTAGTTAGATTTTGATGAAAGCATTAAACATATATTTTAAACAGATTTTTAAGATCAAATGTCATAATTTTGTTAAAAATAATTTAACTTTCATAAAACTTTGATACAAATTTTAAATTTGAAATCTTATAATTTTGCGCATTTATAGTATTATTCAAATATCAAACTATGTTTCTTTAATTAAAAAACGACTTTTCATTATATTAAAAATGATACAACATGTTAAGGTGGATAGAATCGCGCATATTACCACACCTTTAACAAATATCTTTCTTAATGTTTCTTTTAATCTTGAAAAAATACTTGGTAAGACGCTAGTGTTATATTTTATCTCTTTAGAAAACAAGAAACTTTAATAAATATATATAAACTATACTTATAATGTTTAAACATTGATAATAAAGTAAGTACAATAAAGAGAACTTACGTTTTTGAGCGATCGTATATGCCTTTTTCACCTGGCCATAAAATTCGTCCTCTGGGAGATAGTCATCATAGTGCTGGTGTGGAGCATCTGACTGCATGTCTTGTTGTTCAATCATATGTCGTAGTGAAGGGATTTTTGGAATAGCCTTCCCAGTCATATTTGGCAAATTGTTACTAGAAAATCCAAGTTTGTCGAGTATTGTAGATTTTATTGTTGCTAATCGCAGCTTTTTGTCCGATTCCATAACTTTGCATACTTTACACTCGCTGTCCGTTTCGTTGTGTGAATCTGTTGAATTAGAGATTTCTTCTTCACTGGTATGTTCTTCGTCATCACCTTCGTCCAAATATGTATCATAAGTTGGCATTTTGTCGTAGTTATTTTCATAATCGTAGTCGAAGAACTTGTCGCCGTATTCCTCAGCCATCATTCTCTCGTAGTCGCCTACTGGATCTTCAACGATGTTGTAATGTTCCTTTAGATATTCTAAGTAGTCATGTGGAATATCATATTTTGTTTTAAATGATTTTTTTCTGGGCTTCGCGGCAGATTTTTTCTTCACTTGCATATTTTCTTTTTCTTTCAATTCATTTTCTATTTTATCTTCAGTTCCTTTTGTTTTAAGTTTTTCTTTTGGTTTCGTTTCCGAGTGGCTTAGCGTTCCTGTGTTCCCTTTCGTTGTGTCAGCATCTAAGTTTCCTTTTGGAGATTCAATTTCCTTTTTTGGTTCCGTCTCTTTAGACTTAACTGTTACTTTTATATCACTTTTCAGATCTTCCATTGAGCCAATTGTTAAACATAAATAAATGCAAATTATTGATAAATGATATTTCATTTTGGTTTTACAAATGTAAAGCAAGCGTTTAATAATTTTCCAATTTTAATATATTTAGTTTAATTTAATGTAAAACATTGTATATCCTAGTTCACTTCAATAAAGTTTAAGCTATCGTGTCAGAATCAGCTGTTCGATACACTTGCTTTCGTAATGACTCTCGAATACACTGCAGGCTATCTTAACGATTTATATAGGAAGCGGTCATCACAGAACGGGGTATCAATTACAGCCACGCGAACACTTCGACAGCTTTATACGTTTTAAATAGTATACCCCTGGGCGGATCTCAAAACTCAACATATTGATAATGTTTTTGTTCCGCAATGAAAATCGCTTTCTCACTGTAGTTGGTGGAAGGTATTTTAACAATCTCTCTCTCTTTCTCCCGCAAATTGCTGTGTTTCTTAATTAAAAACAGTAACTGTGCATTCACATTGCGTGTTGTATTGAATAATCTAGTCAGGATATGTTTTGCGTGGATCAGATTTTAATGATTTAAAATATCACAATAAATCAGATAACATTATGCGATCTACTAATTGCTTTAGTATAACAAGGTGTAAAATAATTGTAATCTGTGAAACATGTCCTTATTTAAGTGACCCGTATAAGGAATTCGCCTCCTGTAATTCTTTCATCTTATTTTAAATTTGGCGATATCATATCTTGCGACCAACCACTTCACATTTTAAGGATATTTAACAATGTATCCTATTAACACTTTTTTGGCCTGTAGTGTACTATGAACGTGCATGTCAGTCTGAAAATAGATATTTATTAAAACAGATACATATTTATTTATTTACCTATTCATTCATTCATTCATTCATTCATATAATCATTCTTATAATCATTGATTGATTGATTGATTGATTGATTGATTGATTGATTGATTGATTGATTGATTTATTTATTTATTTATTTATTTATTCATTATAGTTACATCTGTACATAATTCAGACATTTCAGCATAAAGGATAAACAGTACATAGCCATTCTTTAGGTAGAATTACAAGAAACTTTAGATATTTTACAATTAAAACAATAATCTGTTATATTACAAACACATAAAATATATATATCAATACATAAACATATATATGCAAATACATTTCACATAAAATATAAAGAATGCAATATTATAACATCACATGATATCAAGTGTAAAATCTGACAACGGCAACACATTTGATAAAAGAGCACTATTAAAAGGTAAAAATAAAAAAAAAGATGGATGCATATACACTCAGAGGCACTTATAACCCGACACTTACATTTTTTCGGTGTAAATTGCTTATTTGTGGACGATTTATGTTCAAATTTGGACCATGCAAAATCCAACTTATCCTACTTATTACTTAAGACTTTATTTAAAATTCATTGACAAGAAATTAGAAAAAAGTAAAACAAATAGGCTACTTTGAAATGGAAAAAAAATCACAGAATGGCTGTAAATATCGTAACAAAATGAACAGTCTCTGAATCCCGCTAAATCTGTATTGTAAGTTAACCAGTTTTAATACTTTGTGTGTCCTCCCATGGCTATAACAACGTGTAAACAACCCTGTTTTATAGAAATGACGTTTCTCATGAAGGCTTGTGGAATATTCTCTATTCCTGAACAAGGGCTTGCTCGAGTTCCAGCAAATTGTGGAATGAATTGAACAGGCGTGTGAGAAAGCGACCAGTAGCCCCTCACAATTTGCTTGAACTCGAAAAAGCCGTTGTTCAGAAATGGAGAAATATTCCACATAAATGGATTAAAAGCGCCTGCACAAGTTCAATTTGCTGCATTTATTCACTAGTGTAGAATGATAAAAAGCACACCATGTTGCTTTCACTCTAGTGTGAACAGGAAGCTGCACCGCGAAACTATAACCGTAAAAGTTTGTTTGGGATAGATGGGGGAAAAATACAAGAACATAAAAAATCCACATTTGCCGATCTATCTACTGTTAACTGCCATCCAATAGAAACTCCTAACAACTTAGCAGTGAATATTACCGCAAACAACATTCCAACACAGAATACCGTTGACAATCTATGTTGTAAGATATTAACAAAAGTTGCATTATGTATAATTAATAGCATCGTTGATAACAGTGAGTAAGAGTTACCATTAGAAAGTACTGTTAACTACATGTTATTAGGTCTGTTAACTGCACTGCGTTAACTACATATTAACTAACATTATTTTAAAAAGTTCCGTTATCTTCATTATTTTAGAAAGTACAGTTAACTACATTATATTGAGAAGAACCGTTAATTACATTATATTAGAAAGTACCATTAACTACATTATATTAGAAGGTACCGTTAATTACATTTTTAAATAGTACAGTTAACTATATTTTATTAGGAAGTACTGTTAACTACATTATATTAGAAAGTACCGTTAATTACATTTTTTAAATAGTACAGTTAACTACATTTTATTAGGAAGTACAGTTAACTACATTGATATAGGAAGTACATGTACTGTTATCTGCCCTGGAGTTAAAAGAACCTTAGAATGCCCTGCAGTAAAAAGGGCCGGTTTTTTTTGTAGGTAAAAATTAGTCAGCCCTAATAAGTAACAAGTGTTTTAAGCGTATTTTTTTTGTTAAATATCAATGAATTATTTTACTAACTTTTTTGCCCAAGAGGGACATAACTGACCTACAATTAAGGACATGTACAGTTAAATTTAAATTTGAATTGAATTTTATATTTTGACGAGTTACATGTCATTTTTTTCTTTGACAAATGATGACAACTACATGTGTCAATGATGTCATGTAAATATAAAACTACCCGATCATACAAATTGCGTTATCTGTTAGTTTCTATTTATGAACAATAAAAATGTTTATGGATTATTATCATCATCATCATCATCATCATCATCATCATCATCATCATCATCATTATTATTATTATTATTATTATTATTATTATTATTATTATTATTAGGATTCCCTGTATCCAGTCCCAGTCCATCCAGATTGTGCTTTTTTTAAGCATTATACGAATACTGAAGGAGCACATTTAGCACGGTTCATATTTGTTACTCGTGTGATAAATATATTTATTCTTGGTAGAGCTATTAAGTTACGCTGTAATATATAGTAATTGTGTAAAGATTGTGTTGCACGAGATTTTCGTGCATCAGATTTCTATATAAAGTATCGAAAGGTGTTTTCAAATCACTCGAGGTAGTTGCATTGCTTTATTCGCATGTCTATTTTCCTATCCCATCCCTCCCACCCCTAAAATTTGATTGAATACACTGGTATCATATCAGGCTATTGTTGTAAAGAAAAAAAGCTCTTTTCGATGGCAATACATTTTCTGTTATATTTAACAGGTGGTGCTTTCATTCAAGTATGAAGTGAGAAGAGGCAAAGTTCAATACATGATTTTTATTTGAATTTATTTCTGTATTTCTGATATAATAAAATAAATGCAATTGGCCAATCCTAATTATGTCTCGTTGTTTATTATGCTTAATAGCTTTTAAAGAGAATAAATAATTTATTTTCGTTTAATTAATTTCGTTTAATTTCGTTTCGAATTAGAAAATAAAAATGAATGTCACATGTCTGACAAATATAATTTCGGATAGACATTATTTACACGTGGTGTGATGTTTGCGTTCGAGTTTCCTAGAATCACACATGTCGCACATGTGCCACACATCTCTTGCTATATATTCACATATATATTATACGTATTATTATATTCGTTTCTATACTAGTTCTATTATAGACCAATCTATTCTATGGCTTATCAGGCTTTAATGTACCGACAAAAAATTTGATGATCATGTTGACTACAAACTTTTACCAAAGCTGATATTTTCTCCACCCGTACTTAATATCATATATAATTATACGGAGGAGCACTAGTGCCAGGTGTATGTTTTTTATTAACTCGAAATTTCGAGTTGCTAACTCGAAATTTCGACTTACTAACTCGAAATTTCGATTTACTTATCTCGAAATTTCGACTTACTAACTCGAAATTTCGACTTATTAACATTACTAGAATAGCCAAATTTATGAGTTACCAAGAGTTTAGATAATAATTATAAGATATAGTAGGCAGTGCGGTTGAACGATGGAGATGGAGAAACGGGTGCCTGGACAAACTATTAAAGTTAAAGTTAAACTTAGTAATGGCATGTTCACGCCCGACCTAAAAAAAAACACAAGGCTTTCTTTAATTTGTACGTTCAGGCGTTCTTCAGACGTTGTATTGTATCCCACCTGTTCGAACATATCTTTTCACTAATCATATTCTTCTCATCCATGTGAATAAAACGATCCTATACTTCACGTGTGGGACATCTAAGGAAAGTATCGCGGAGTGGCCAAAATTGGGCGTGCTGGGGCCTTTGTCAAATTTGTTGGACTGACTATATTTCTTGTAAAATCGGATGTTTTTATATTATTCCCAACATGTTTATAACAACAAGTTCCACTTTTATCAACTTTTATCAACACAATATGAATCAAAGTCTTAGTAAATAATAAATAATGTTACAAAAACATTATTATAATAAAGAAACGTGACAGACTAACTCGCGTATATACGCCATTTAAAACTTATTTAACACATGAATGTTGCACAGTTTACAATAGGGTGGGTTTTGGACTTGTTGTATCTCCACATGATGGTTGTATGTGTGCTTTAGAAAAAGAACATCCGGTTAACACGGAAATATGGAAAGTGTTATTTTACACCCCCTCCCCCCTCCTCCACAAAAAAGCGAAGGATTTCTATTAACCATATTTTTTTTTTATTAAAGTGTGAAGATAAATAAGAATGCTGTCATATTATCCGGATACCGTCTAATGTTACCCTAAATAAGAATATCTCATACGATTTTTTATTAATAACCATTGTATCGTGATAAGCACAAAAAGGTCGAACTTATATATCTTATATACCTTATTTTCTGATAGAAAACCTTTTCTGCGTTAAAACTCGTATAAGATTGTAGCCATATTTAGATTTCATTGAAAACATAAACATGTATTACTTATTAAGATTTTTGACAGGTTATATGGCCCTATATAAACGGTTATTTGCATACATGTAAAACCCGAGCCGCTAGAAAAATGCTAATGCAGTTTTTCAATTGCTGCCTTACTTGTAATTGATATGAGGTTACTGTAAAGGCGTCATTTATGACAACATGATTGCATTGCCCCTGTTTAGAATAGAAATTTCCAGTAAGTTAATCTTCGTTTAATTTTTGTGATAAAATTGATACCATCAAAATGTTTTTTAACGCATTTTGTCATGCACTGAAGCCTTGTTAATATCAATTCACACTATATTGTACAAGTAAAATCATGGTATAGTTTCCTGTCGACACGTTTTGCATCAGCTAA